GATCCTGCCCCTCTCCTCAGCCCTGGGGAGGCCTCACCTGCAGTACTGTGTCCAGTTCTGGGCTCCCCACTACAAGAGAGACATGGCGCTACTGGAGAGAGGCCAGCGGAGGGCTACAAAGATGATGAGGGGACTGGAGCACCTCTCCTCTGAAGAAAGGCTGCGAGAGCTGGGCCTGCTGAGCCTGGAGAAGAGAAGACTGAGAGGCGATCTCATCAATGTGTACAAGTATCTGAAAGGGGGGGGTGTCAAGAGGATGAGGCCAGTCTCTTCTCTGTGGTGCCCAGCAACAGGACAAGAGGCAACGGGCACAAACTGAACCACAGGAAGTTCCATCTGAACATGAGGAAAAAATGAGGGTGACAGAGCACTGGAACAGGTTGCCAGAGAGGTAGTGGAGTCTTCTTCCCTGGAGATATTCAAAACCCGCCTGGACGCGATCCTGGGCAATATGCTCTAGAAGTCCCTGCTTGATCAGGGAGGTTGGACTAGATGATCTCCAGAGATCCCTTCCAACCTCAACCATTCTGTGATTCTGTGAGAAAGAGTTCAACTCCCAATTTCTTCAGCATGCCTAGAAGAAAGTTATTTGAGATGGTGAGATAAAGGTGTACTAACACTGTAAAAAATATTCACAACTGTTTCATTCTTCTCTATACCGAAAGTAAATCCTCTGCTTCAGATCTTATCTCAGGGCAGTCTCATTCTTGACAGGATGGAATTCATACAATATCTATCAGGTAGGACAATAAGCTTGGTAACTGCACATTCATTTTATTAAGGAAGATTTTCACTTTGCACTGGTCTTTAGAAGTGTCTAAATGATACACTTGCACTTACGGACAAGTATAAGTGCACTGAAATATTATCCTTCTCCAATCCATTTGTCAAATGCCTGTAACAGTAATGCAGTAATAGAACTGCTGTAACAAATAACCACCATCCTAACTTCAAATAGTTGACTTTTCATTACAGCTGTAAAATGGACATTTTTACTTGTCTTAAACTGCTGGGCTTCCTGGGGGAATGGGAAAAAATTACTAATCCAAATTTAGGGTCAGCTAAGCAAACAAGAGCCTCTCCCTAGAACAGCCAAGGGATGTGAAAACTGTATATTTCAGTCTACCTTCTACATGTACCAATGGCTGAACCCATGGCACTGATCTTCTCTAGAATATACTACTAAGCAAGTGTAACTTTTAGCATGCCATTAACTTACTGCCCCCATAAAGCATATTTTGGAATATGATTCATAGAGAAGCTGAAGATACTCTGTGGCTCAAGTTAAATTAACAAGGCAGGAGGAGAGTCCCACAGACAGGCATAGGAAAACTGCTGGAGGAAAAAAAAGAAAATAAAAGAAAAAGGTGTCTACACACAATATGATACCAAGGTAGAACTACAGCACCAACACAGCTGCTCAAATTTGCCATTTTTCCATTATATAGAACGTGAATTTCTGATATAAGGAGGCCTGGGTAGGGAAAGTATGCCCTTATC